AGGCTACTTTAATATATTTTTTTCTTTTCCAGAAAGAATGGTTAACTTTTTTTTTTTTTTTTTTTTTAGAATTGCCCACAAAATTAGACTTTTCATAGAGTACATCTCTTGACTCCTGTGACTCAGCCGAAGTGCTCTTTTAATCTTCTGACTATTCTTGGCAGGTTCTATGGAGATTCTCAGTCATCCAGGTCATGGTTGCCCCAGAAGTGCTTTTTCAGGAGGCAACTGGACTTTCTTGTTTTTCTTCAAAGACGTTTCGCTTCTCATCTAAGAAGATTCTTCAGCTCCGACTGGATGGTGGGGAATGGAAGGATTTACATTCCTTGCAGACTACAGGAACCATTTGCACTTCAGTTTAAGATGCAGACAACACAGACTCTTCCCCAACAGCCTGCCCCTGTCTTCAACAGTGAAGGGACACAGGGCAGAAAACATCCTGCAGCCAAGAAGACTCCACACACATTTGTACTACTCAGGTGACCCTGAGAACACAGGTAAACGTCCAAATGACCTCAATGACTCTCTAAAGGAATGCAAATGACCAGCTGTCTGCAAGGAATATAAATCCTTCCATTCCCCACCATCCAGTCAGAGCTGAAGAAACTTCTTGGATGAGAAGCGAAACGTCTTCAAAGAAAAACAAGAAAGTCCATTTGCCTCCTGAAAAAGCACCTTTGGGATTGGCAGAACCAAGATTGGAGAAATTATCTTTTCAAACCCATGCCTCATATTACAATCTTAGTATTTTTATATATACGCATCATCCTTAGGAAGGACTATTCCACAAAAGTCATTTGGAAACACTTTTCTGACTCCTTCAGCATTTAACTAACTTTTTCATTTATCATCTAAAGAATTTTGAGGTAGTGATGATGTATTAAGTCCTCATACGGTCTGTATTACCTTCATCGTTATTTTTTAAAAATGGCTTCTGTTGTCATCTCAGATTGGATTCACGACCGATCCTCGTATGGCCCGTTCTTCCCCATACCCAACAGATGTGGCTCGTGTGGTTAACGCACCCATTTTCCATGTCAATGCTGATGATCCAGAGGCTGTGGTGTATGTGTGCAATGTGGCAGCTGAATGGAGAAGTACTTTCCACAAAGATGTAGTTGTGGATCTGGTAGGTAGTACTGATCCTTCTGACATACTGATAAATTTAGTTGGGATTGTATAATAGGTTATTTAAGGAATTTACAAAAAAAATTGTGGTATACAGAATAACAGAGTTGGAAGAAATTTTGGAGGTCTTCTTGCTCAAGCAGGAAACCCTATTACCATTTATACAAGCAGGAAACTCTATACCATAATGTAAATTATCATTTATACCCTATACATGCTGAAAATTCATAAGTAAATGATAATAAATGTTCCTTTGTTGTTTAACTTCTTTAATTGATGAAGGAATGTTTTGATTGATAAGTGATGAAAAACACAAATAACTCTGTGAATTTGTGTGCCTTGGTAATATGTTGGCTAAAGATGGGAAATGACTGAAGAAAGTTTAACATGAGCAACTGCTAGCAGAAAGATGGTGGGTAATATTTTCCTAAAAGCAGAAAAAAATAGTTAGATATGTACCGACTTCTGTGGACTTTATTATATAAAAATGATGACTGTCAAGAGGTATGTCAAGAGAAATTGAACGTGCGTCGAATAGAGTGAAAATGGAGGACCTGAGAAATATCTGTGGCAAAACCAGAAGAGATAGACTCTAGAATAAATTATCTCTAAATGAATGCATCAGTTAAAAAGAAATAATGCTAAAATGGGTTAGTCACATAGAATTCATGAAGGTTGAGCTGCAGAACAAATATATAGTGGAAGAATTAATGGGTTGAGAGGAACGCTAAGAAAGTTGTGACTGAATGCAGATCATTAGATCCTCAAGAAGAAGTGATTAAGTTTTAAAAGCAAAAATCAGAATGTGAAATGGTATATCGACACGTTGAAAACAAGAATAGTTTAGAGCTGGAAATTTGCATAAGTATTTATATAAGTCAATAAATAATAGCTTGCCCTACTCAGCCATATCCACCACTCCTTTGAGGATCATTTTCAAAGGGCTTTGTGGAATGATGGAAAGAGAAGATTATGTAGAATGTAAAATTTTCCAGATTTTACTCTCTATTTCTGCTCATTTGCCATCACTTTACACCCATGCTTGTCCTCAACCAAGCATTTCCTTCTCATTACTGAGCTTGAAAACTTTAATTTGGGAAGATGAATTGTTTAGGTCAAGAATAAATATACAGGATTGTTTTCCCTTTCAAACGTGCTAGGTGTGCTACAGGCGAAATGGGCACAATGAGATGGACGAGCCGATGTTCACTCAGCCATTGATGTACAAGCAGATCCGAAAACAGAAGGCCGTGCTACAGAAGTATGCTGAGACCCTGATTTCACAAGGAGTAGTAAATCAACCTGAATACGAGGTACTTTCATTTATGGCTTAACAATCGTTCTGTAGATCGGCCATGCTTCATCTCGATACTCCTCATCCCATCGTGGTACCAAGCATTTCATAATTTCAGAGGCTTTGGGCATTTTATAAATATTATAATACATGACACCATACAGGAACATTCAGAACACATCTGGGATTAGTCAAATAATCTCTCATTTTCCCATGGCAACTGATAACATTTCTCCATTACTGTGTAGCTTATTGAAACTTGTTTAATCTGATACATGCAATTATGTATGGCATATATGAACTGGCTCGTTATACAATTGTCCCTTTCAGAGAACCAACTGTACTGGCTTCGAAAACAACTTTTCGTAAATAGGGACACGTTTGCCTCAGCAGAAGCTCTGGCTTTAGTATAGACAAAATAAAACCTGATACTCCCAGCCCAGTGGATAAATTACAGTGATTTGCTACTACCAGTTTTGCTTGAGAAATGTGTTATAATGCTAAGAAGGTATTTGTTTAGACCAGACATGTCAAACACAAGGCCTGGGGGCCGGATGTGGGCCGCAAAGTGGTTCCTTGTGGGCCGCGAAGCCATCCTGGAAGCAGTGAGGGAACGGCCCCCGCTGCCTTGGCCCTGGCCCAGGCCAGCCGGGAGCCAATGTACAATTCTGTGGTGACCATCTATGCTGAAACGCATTCAGTCTTAGCTCCATAAGCCTCCCCCCTGCATGGTCTGAGAGGAACAGCGAGGCTCCTCCAGTGGACCATGTCTTGGCACTTGCCCTGGTCCCACCCCCTTCTGCCAGAGACCCTCAGATCTGTCCCACTCCTACCCAGGCCCCCGCAGGCACTCTTTGATGCGAATGATGTAGAGCTGACCACGCCCACCCAGTAGGCCACACCCACTCCATCCATGCCCACCCAGTAGGCCGCACCCACCCTGGCCACACCCACCTGGCCCCCTGAAGGCAACCGCAATGCTGATGCGGCCCTCAATGAAATTGAGTTTAACACCCCTGGTTTAGACTGAAGTGTTGGTAATATTTGTTCTTGGGCTCACCTCTACATTCCTTTTGTCTTCCAGGAGGAAATTTCCAAGTATGACAAAATCTGTGAAGAGGCTCATGCAAGGTCCAAGGATGAAAAAATCCTTCATATCAAGCATTGGTTAGACTCTCCATGGCCTGGTAAGTTACTGTCTGCTTGCTAACAGCCATGGATTAAAAAAAAAATAGTTCTTGGCCAATAGATTGCACTTGCAATTTCTGGCACAAGGATGAGTTGTCCTTGCCTAGAACTCTCAGTTCTGAAAATTCTGCACAAGGATCATAGGAGGTAGTCAGCATTATTAATCAACGAAATGTGCTTGCATTAAACTAAGAGGCACTTGAGGAAGAACTTCTGTTCTTCTCCTGGAGGCTCTGGCAGGATGATCCAGTAGTTTAATTGGACCGGGTTTATTTGCCAGATACCTTCTCAGAAGAAATTGGGCAGTGAGGAACATCTTTTTAAAGGAACTGTTTTATCAGCTGGAGCTTGCTCCTCCTGTAAATGTCTTCCTTGCCTCTTTTTATGTCCTCTTCTTAAATGTTCAGGTTTCTTCACCCTGGATGGCCAACCTCGGAGCATGATCTGTCCTTCTACCGGCTTGACTGAAGAAGATTTGGGCCATATAGGAAAAGTGGCCAGCTCAGTTCCTGTTGAAAATTTTACCATTCATGGGGGTATGGTTTTCTATATCTTTTTCCCCTTGAATTTTGCTTTTTAATGATTTCTGTAGAAGATGCAGCGTCTTACTTGCATGGTGGGGTCTTTTGCAAAGCTTCCTTGAAGCCTCTCTTAAATAGATGTTCAGAATTCATGGAGCAATCAGTACTTTGCTTCTGTTTTGCATGTTCTAATGATATCTAACAGGATTCCATGCATTGTATATATCCTAGTACATTTGGGCCTACCTCATAGCCAATCCAAGCTGTCAGCAAATTAAGATGAAAATGGATTCTGCTTCAGAGCTTAATCTTTCAGTCTTAGTCTTTGCTCTTTTTCTACATTTGCTCTTAGTCTTTGCTCTTTTTCTACATGTTGGTGCTTGGATTTATGGCTGCCTTAAAACCTGAGCACCCTCCAGACATGTGCATTTCAGGTCCTAGAATTCCACAGCCAGAATGGCTACTGCCGTGGATCCTGGAATTGTAGTACATACATCTGAAGGGTACTCTGGTTACGGAAGTGATCTGCGATGCCATATTCTTCACTGTGTGTGAAGAACAGACGTTCAAAGCATCTGTAAATGCATCTCTACATTTTGGGAATTGCTGCCATAAAGCAGATTGAAGATTATTATCTTTCTCTAAAGGTTTAAGCAGGATTCTAAAAACACGAGGAGAGATGGTTGCCAATAGGACTGTAGACTGGGCCTTAGCAGAGTATATGGCATTTGGCTCTCTTCTTAAAGAAGGAATCCATATTCGGCTGAGTGGACAAGATGTTGAAAGAGGAACATTCAGGTAAATTGTGTTGACTGTACATGGGTGGTCTTTCTTTAACCAATGCAGGACTTTGGTGAAAGTCCATAATATTTGGGGGCAAATGCAAAATGTCAAGATAGCATTATCCCCAGCTTAGGCCAGGGGATGTACCTTTGTATTTCTCTTCTGGGACCAAATCAAGCTGATGCAAATGTCCTCCTATATAGGAAACAAAATTTGATGTAGGTATCTAGCAGATCTAAGAAGAGTAAACAAATTGGTCAGGAACATATCTTTGAAGAAACATGATGGGGTCTAAGTGGATATCGGTATCCAAATAAACCAAGGAAAGGAAAATGCAGAAGCGTCATTTTTTTTTTCTTATTGCTTTAGGAATGACAAAAAGCTGCCAATAAGAATTCCAGTTACCAAACCTGCAAGAGTAAAGTGTATTTTGATCCAATATGCGTATACTTGGTATATAACCGAGTAATCATCTCAATCCTCACTGCAGACAAATGTGTTTGAGACCCAGCAGGGGACTTGAAATATGTTCCTAAGAAATTGGAG